AAGTACAGTCCATTTACCATTCAAAACTATAGCTTGGTCAGACCTCATGTTCCAGCTTTAATGTTGTTTGAATACATTTCCTTGTTGTTGTATTCATGGCAAATGTGACAAAGGGCTGTGGGCTGTTGTTGGTTCGATCCCTGGCTCCTCCTGCCACATGTCGAAGTATCCTTGAGCAAGATAGGTGCTATACAAGTACAGGTCCGTTTACCATTTACCATTTAGCTCACTTGGTAGAGCTGATGACCGTGGATTGAGTCCTGCAGCAGCCTAGGGTTCAAATCCCACCTGTGGCCCTTTGCTGCTTCATCCCTCCCCCTCTCTCACCCCCCTTTCCTGTCCTGATCTCCAGCTTTCACTGGGCAATAAAAGGCCAAAAAAAAAATGTGACAAAGATTTACAAATGGCAAGGGTTGGCTGTTGAGAGGCATTGTATTTAAATGGGAACTTCACCAATTTTACACACAAACATCAGTTTGTTCAATATGGGAGGTACAACACATCACATAAAAGTTGTTGTAAAATGACATGCTTTGTCAAACAAACCCTGATGATGTCATGGTGATGTAATCAGAGTGATCTTCACTTGCTTTGGCAAAAAACTTGCATAATTACAAACTAGAGGTGTGGAGTTTGAAAAACATGGGTTTTACTAGGCAAGGAGAATAATGAAAAGCTGCCCTTAGTTGCATTATGGCAAATGTAGGATCCAGTGCTTTTGGAGCTTGACCCATAAGATGAAACTAAAAGCCAGGATATCTGAGTTCATTCACTTGTAAGTCACCAAACGTTATGGAACTGCAATACCAAGTTGCTGAAATACCCCTTTAAAAAACAAAACAAAGAGGCCAAGTCCAAGTGTCTACAGTGCCCTCTGTCCTCAATGAAATACTGACATACTCACATAATGAATTCACTTAAAAGTGTCATGTGCTGCATTTCATTAACCATTTTAAGACAGGAAGAGAGTGTTCCTCCTCTGCATTATCTGTTGAGATTCTGTGCTTTGGATTAAAGTGGATGGATGGACTGACTGACAGTGTGTCTGTTAGTAGGATAAAAAAACTACAAGCTAAACTGAACTCAACAGGACTATTACAAGTGCATTAGAGGTTTCCCCATACTCTGACAATGACGAACATAGGTAAACAGCTTACTGTGGCATAGCAAGATCTTACTGCTTCCCTTTTGGTTTTCACCATCTGTCAAAATCTGGCATGGAAATGCTGAAAGGATCTCTTTTCTTTCCTCTCTCCTTTCCATTTCCCCCGTCCCTATTAGTGTTGTTGGCCTGTTTAGTACAGAGGATGTCAGAGGTTTCTCTGTAGCTGTCAGATGTTTTACGTTCTACTGTGAACAGTGAAATCATCTACCACAGATAACTGTGGATTCACTGAATCATACTGACACCTCCAGCTCTAACAGCCCTTCAACAACACAAAACCCTGCCTGCACAATAGAAAAAAAACACTTCAGAAATATCAGTGATATATTTGAATTAATTGTTCGTGAAAAGTGCAGTGATGAGCCCAAAGTGGTAGGCCTGTGTGTGGGCATCGCCATCTGCTACTCCAGTTTATATATGTGCTGGATCTTAGTGCAAAGGAGTTGGGTGAAGTGGAATATAGAGCAGAGGGTGTGCTGATTAATAAATACACTGTCGGCCAATCACATTGCTGATCTCAGATCTATGTGATCTGTATATATTCTATAAAAATAATAAGAATAAGATATACATAAACATCAAAATACTGAGTTATAATGGTGTAATTTTGTTATCTAATCAATATAAGCACAGTGGACAGCCGGCCATAATGGAACTGCACTCTGTCTCTTGGAAAGAAAGAAAATACATGTTTTTTCCCCCAAAATCTCCTTTAACACAAAGACTGGAAGCAGGGGGAAAGTGTTTGGAGAGACTTTACGTGTATTCCTGCATTTTAGTTTCTTGGCCTTGTGGTCATGCCTCTGCAAGTGCAAACAAAAACCTGATGATTTTACTAATCCTTAGAGTCACAGCCACTGTAGAGAGAGTTTTGCCTTTGCCATTTTGAAAAGTGACTCTATCCAAACACATGCATAATGCATGGCACACACTCAATGGTAATACAATCTAGGTATTAGTATAGTAGCCATAAGAAAAGGATAGTAAGTAATACTAAGTTATTACCTAATAAGTCGGTAAAAGGTGGTAGTTCATTAACTTAAACCATCTAAGAGCATGGATCTTTAATATGATTAATTCTTGAAAACACTCAGGCACATCACTAAGCCACAACAAGATACTTGGGATTGGAAGGTATATAAAGGTAAGTAACTAGAACTCATCAGTGTGTTGAAAGAATAATGAAACCTATGGTATTTCTATGTAGATGCTGTGGTATTTCATAGTAAGTAATATGTACCTACTGGGTAAAAAGTACATAGTAACCATTTACTTCGGTACTCTCCTAATAAGGATATTCTTATGGATATTATATTTTTATGTTTCCATGCACTTATTATGTAATATCTTACTATCCTTTCCTTATGGGTAGTATACTAATACCTAGATTTCATTGCTATCTAGTTTCCTGGTAGGTTTTCATGTACTTACTGGCTAAAAGCTTTAGTACTTACTATTCTTTTTCTAATGGATACTTTACTAACTCCTTGATTTCTTTACCATCTAGTTTCCTAGTAAGTTTACATGTACTTATTAAATAATAACTTTGCACTTATTAGCCAGTTCTTTTGGTACTTAATAACTATATTTTGTTGCCATCCAGTTTCTTGGTAATGTGACCAGAAACTAAATAAAGACTTATTGTAATTAAGCTTCAATTAGTATGACTCTCTGCTTCCCTTCAACCCCTCTGCCTTCGCCACATTATTCACTGTATTAACTGCACTTAAGAATTTTCTTTTGGAAAGAGGAAGGGCGGGATGGATACCCCCTGCCTTTGCTTGCTGCTAATTTACAGTAAACACTTTAACTCTGTCCCAAAATGAAGTTATGTATAACAGTTGCATTAAGGGCTACAAATGTTCTTCTTTAACATTTAAGGCATTTCACCACAAACAATAGTAGGTATATCTTGATCAGAGTAGTTGTGTGATAAAGAAGTGTAGAAGTAATAAGCATCTCTCCCCCAGGTTGCTAAACTCTATCTGACCTGCTGAACTTGTCGACAATCTCTCAAATTATGAATGATCACAGTAAGCCACCAACTGCCATGCTAACGATCCCATTAGCATCTCTTATTGGGCACTTGTATGACTCCCCAGCAGGGGCTGAGGGGTAAGCAGACGCAAACGCAGTTTGAAGAAATAACGTTCCCGTTGACTTCTCCAGCACAGACACCATTTGCCGATTGACTATCAATGACCTTGGTCTGATGACCAAAAAGCTGCCCATTGAAGTTAAAGTACATCCTCGCTGTGCCTGATTAAGCACACATGATAGCATTAAGACACGTGACATTCATTTGTTGTATGATATTTCCTTCTTCTGCTGACCATTTGTATGATGTAACTGCCATACAGTCCCCTTTAAATTTGAAATATGAAAGAATAAATGTCAGGCAAAGCTTTTTTCTGTATAAATAATTTAAAGGTGTCAATGTCATAACCATATTTACGACTAAATCTAACAAATGAGAATATAGTGTAAATGTTTGTTTAAACGAAAGCTGGATTATTACCTGCTGAAAGTTCCACTGTAAATACCAAAGGGGGTAGGTTTTGATTTATAGTTCTGTGTTGATTTCACCCATTGATGTCACCACCACAAGTGATGTATGTATGTCATGCCTTGTTGTAGTGTTGGGCCGTATGACGAACATTTTCTTTTCCTGTACTTAGATATGCTATGTGCTAGGCTCGTTTGTGTTTTGTGACATTTTGACGATGGTGAAAAGATAAAAGCGAGATATACACTGTGTTCCAAATCATTATGCATATACTGTTTTTGTTCTTTTTCTTACTAAATAGTCGATATAATTGGCAGTCAATAGGATTTTTTATTCCTCAACAATTATACGGAATCTGGATTTTATTAAACACAATTACATGATGACAATGGCATTTTTTTGCAAACTAACTCAAAATGTAGTGTTCCAAACTTCATTATGCAAAACAGAGTTTAAAAAAACT